TTGACCTTCTTCTAAGGTGCCTGAAAAGAGAACATACTCTTTGCCAACAAATGAAACCACAATTTTTTTGGCAAATATAGGATTTTTGCTTGTATAACGAACGTGTAAGACACCAGTCACAAAAACATCAGGAGATGCGCCTAAATAACCTTGTTGAAACGATTGTTCACCCGGGGAAAAAGGAAAAAAAAACCTTCTTGCTGTTTATTGCGCAAGGAGGCTTCGGACCGGTGGTTTGTTGCTGCGACATTTTAGCATTTTTCTTTTAGAAAAAGAAAAAAAAAATTCTAAAAATTTCGGTTTTAAATGATTACAATTGAGAATATAATTGAAACTATAATTGAGACTATAATTGAGACTATCATCACATGTAAATAAATCTTTATTACAAGAATCATTATGTTATACTGTAGATTACATGACCCGAGGGTAAATGATCTCTTTTTTAAACATAAAATTATCGCCGCTTTTGAAATAATTGAACCAAAAAAATTTATCACTTGATTTAAATAACGGGAAATAAATGTACCTAAATTACATATGACGACAATTACACGTGATGTTGATTGAGATCAAGTTATTGGCTATGGATAGCGCGGATCTGCGATAGCATAGTCTGCACATAAATCTGACAGGGTCGTCTAAAGTGGTGCATAATCCCGTAACATATGACCAATCAAATTATAGAATTTTGAAAAATACAAAAAACGGCAGTTTAAACATACCTCGAGAAGGCAATAAGTTAAGTCAATAAAATATACATTATAAGAATCTGCTCCGCTTTAGACGTCCCCTAATTTAGCATAATTAATAATTAATAGAGCATAATCTGCGCATAAAATGGTCTGCATTAACAATTGAATATTTTTGGGTAATGGACAATCAAATAACACAAAATAGAGCAAACAGGAGCGATCGTCCAAATATGGGAGCTTGTCAATAGAAAGGGGATTTCTTCTAAGTAAAAGTTTTTTAAACTTTAAATTAAAGTATCTCAACAACTATTAAACTAAATTTAATAAATTTTTTTTATCTTAATTCTATAAAATTATAAAATTAAAAAAAAGTTTTATTAAATTTAATTTAGTAGTTTTATTGAGATATTTTAATTTAAAACTTGAAAAAAATGTTACTAAAAACTTTTTCCTCTACTATATGTGGATGATTCTGATATGGTTACACGAATGCTAAATAATTTTTTATATGGTTTACAATACTTCTTTTAAGAGCTCGAGTAGCTTAACTTTCTATGAAACAAAAGTAAATTTAATGGATGGATTAATTATTTTGCTTTACTTATAACATATTTCTTTGAATCCACAACATTCTTTGCATCCTGATTGGTTGATTTGCTAAATTCGAGATATGATTGGTTGACAATCACATAAAACTAGATCGTGAAGTCATTTTTATGTAAATTATATAGAATTTCTACATAACTTTATATAAAAACTTATTTAAAGTATATTTAAATTATATATAGATTTACAAACCCAATGTAAACTTTATGTATGATTTCTATGTAAAGTTATATAAAAGTACAAAAACTTTTTTCCGAATTTTTGAGTTTAAATTAGTTTTTTGAAATAAATATTAGTGTAAATAAATGTTTTTTTGTATGCTGAGC